ATTTCACATATCTTCATTATATTAAATTGGCACTTGTTTCAATTGTCAAAAATGTTTATACTGTTTTATAGACCTATTGCAAGAAATATACAATTGTGACATAACTAAAAAACCTTTACGTTCAGATGCAAATGTTGACCATACAAAAAAAGGTTACCAAACATATAATCATCATATTTCAAATACACTATCTCTAGTATAACTCACTTTTCTCAAAGAAGCAAATGAAAAATTTGAATATAAGCAAAATTTCAGTACTGAGTTTGGTATTAGTTTTTGTTCTACATACAATTCAAAATATAAGTGCTTTAAAACTAAAAAGACAGAAAAAACTTTTCAAGCAAGTACTCAAAACAAAAAAATTATTACACAAATTAATGTTCAAATTATTATAAAAAAGAATAATGAAAGTTCACCAGGAAAATGGATAAAACTTAATGTACAGAATTCTACATTATTCTATGAAGATTTATTAGAATATATGAATAAAAATATTGAAAATCCAATTAGCAAAGATAATTATACTATTACATATAAGGCAAATGGTCATGAACAAATAATGGCTTTAGATGATGAAGATGATTTTGTGGCATTTTTTAAAAAATACAAGAGTTTATCTGAATTACAACATATGGTAATTTATGTAAATATTAATATAAAATCTAATAATTTTGAACATAATCATAAGAAAAATGCACCAGTAAGTAGAGTATATTATTTATTTTATTTTTTTAATTTTATCAATAATTTCATTTATTTATTATTTATACAATTTTTAATAAATTATTTACTTTATTATTAATAGATTAATAATAATGAGATAAGTAGCTCAGATGAGGAGATTCAAAAAAAATCAAAAAAAATTAAAAAATCTCAAATACCTAAGGAATCTCAATTGAATGAAACAGAACTTGAACAGGCACAAATAATTACAGAAATTCGAGCCAAATATCAATGTGATATACATATTACTCCTTGTTATATTGAAGATAATAGACATCTTCAATTAACACCAGCAAGACTAACATTGTGAGCTCGAGATATTGTAAATTATTTATATTTATTATATATTTTTTTATATTAATTTTTATTGAAATTACAGATACAAGGAATGACAACAATTGATGTTCCTCCTTCTTATCCTACTTTTGGAGCAATTCATGCAAAGCCAGTTAATTCAACATCAGTCTCTTCCAACAATATTTCTACTATTCCTACTACTACAATGCCTCAATGGTTTTTTCCATTTCCTATTTCTTATCCTGGTATCAATGCTTGTTCTCCATTTGAAAAATCAACACCTAATCTTTCTGAATTATACTCTAAATGTCTAACTATTGGTGAATTTTTATCAGAATTAGATAATATACATAATGGTAATGGAATTTACAAATCATTAGAAAATTCATTTGTAAAAGAAGATATAACTGTTAATGTTATTAAAGATTTAACAGATGAAGAATTAATTTCTATTGGAGTTAATAAAATAGGATGGAGAAAAAATATTAAGCAAGCAGCTAATAAATATTAGATTATAATAATTAGTATTATATTTTTTGTAATTACAAATCAATATTTTTTTCAATAAATTTATATTGAAAATTAACAATAAAAAAAAATTTATGTGAAATTATACATGTCATCCAAATCACAAATTAATATGGCATTATGGCTGCCAAAATATGTCAAAATTATTTGGATCCAAGGGTCAAAAAGTACCAAATACCAAATTAATTTTTGCATCTCAAATATTTGAAAGTGAAAAAAATATTTAGTAATAAAAAGAGTTTTCACTAACCTGTGATTCAATTTTTGCGATCTAAAGCTCATTAGATTCCCCTCATCGAGGCGAACATTTTGGTAGTTGTTTTATCAAAATTGGATCTCTCCATGCAAAGTTAATGTTCATCATTAGGTATTTATCAGTAAATAAAATTCTATTATAATTTTTCATGTTTTTCGTCTAGATTTCACTAACCTGTGATTCTATTTTTGTGAAATATAGCTTGTTAGATTCCTCTCATTGAGGTGAACATTTTGGGCAGTTGTTTCATCAAAATTGGACTTCTCTATGCAAAGTTAATGT